AACTCATATCATTGTGGGAAAATTCTACTATCAGTTATTCATCACCTTACACGAAATAGGGTGAATACATATCGTTACTTTTCACTTGGTCCGATGTAGGGCATTGCATCAAACGATTTCCAAGCAACGGGCGCTATTACACGAAATGCGAGTGAGGCCAATCATGACAGCTCATTTAACAGAGCAAACTAATGCCAAATCTGTATTTTTAGCGATAGCATTCTTTTGTAATTGTACATTTCGGTGAGTAGACGGAAATATCCTTTTTTTTCTTCTTATCATCGTCAGCCCCTTCAGTCGCGAGCGATCGTGTCCTCCAGTTGCGCTTCTTCCAAACCGCCTTCACCGGATCTTCAGGGACACTGTCTGAGGCGACCGGTCCGCTTGGTCCCCCACTTGCTGTCGATCCGATGGGCCCGGTCCAAACCGTGGCTGGCCTCTTTCCGTTGGTTCACCTCTCCGCTCTGACCGCACTCAGAGTCCCCATCTTGATACAAGTTTAGCAGCAGCCTCGACCCTTTGGTCGCAGCCAATAACATCTCAACAACTCCCACTTCTGCCCCTCAGAGACGCTTCGTAATGGCGACACTTAAGGAAGGTAAGAGGACAAATCTGTTGCTTGGCGGTCTTCCACGAGTCTCTCGATGACTTTCAGCAAGCCCCGAATCCTCACGCCTCCGTAAGGATCCGAGTCAATTTAGCTCGTTCAAGGATGGACAGTTGAATGCGCCACGATGAAGTGAGCGCCAGACCTCAGCGGGTCTTGGCATTTTCTTTTGTCGCGTCTCCGAATAGACTTTCTCAACCCGCCCGGACGGCCATTTCGAGCTCGGCTGAGCCTCATTCGAATACCAGCGCCGCTCGAAACCGGCTCGTGGGCCTCAGGCAGCATCGGCGCTTCTCTGCCGCACCACCACGCATGCCTGACAGTCACAGGACCAACGAGCACTTTATGCGTCTGTAGCTTGACAACAATACATGATATTGGTATTTGAGTAGGGTTGCGAGACTACCAGTAAATCAGTGTAATCAGATGTATTCACCCTATTTCGTGTAAGGTGATTTAGGACTGGTAGTAGAATTTTCCCACAATCATATGAGTTGAGCTGACGTTTCACATAGCCTTGCTTTCCCAAAAGTTG